TTTTAGCGTTTCGGGTTAATAAATTTGAATATCATAAAAGTATGATAACCACATAGCGCTGAAAACCTGCTCTAGCAGCAGCGCGCTCGAAGGAAACTTTGCAGGGCATATTTTAAAAGCATTTTGACTATTTCCCATTCGAAACAAGAAATAAAAAAGCTTCTCTTTTCGTTGAAAAAGAGGAAACTTTTCAAAGTTCAAATATTGGCAATAAAATGTTATATTTTTCGAACGAACAAACACTTTAGCTTTGGGGTCTTCCAAGAAACACAAGAGCCAGAGCTTGAAAACTGATCGCAGTACCCAAGATCAGCTTGTTATTCCCAGCGATACAAAAATACCAACAGTTAGTTAAACAAACGCTTCAAAATAGAGTTCATCAATGAGTTTCGAATGATCAAATGGTTTTAAAGACACGAAATATATTTTTCACGCGCGAAGGAGTTCAGACGCTTTTAAGATAATAATTGAATTTCAAGCTTTACCTGTATTTTCTATCAAATTGAATTAACTTTGAGCTCCTTAATCCAGTAATACGGTTAAGCTAACAGAAAAACCTAGGGAGAAAAAATGAAAATAACTCTTGTGCTGTGAAAAACATGTAAATTTCTGTCACAAACTAGTTTCTGAGAGTTAAACAAAACTTATAAACAGTTTGATTTTTCATTAAGAAAAGATCAGAGGCTAATTTGACCCTAGACACAGAAATGATCGCACATACATCTCCCTATGATTTCAGAAATGACTGAAACTAATCTTTTTAGAAGACTCGTTCACTGAGACTCGACTATGACGTTTCTGTTCAACAAGTTGTTTACCCGAAAAAAAAGTCCATATTCCGATTTGATAACGCTTGCTAATCGCAAGCGTAAAATTTTTTTAAATTAATTTCAACGCACTTCTGTCACATAAAGGAACAGAAAGCAGTCATCTTTGACTACTGCGGGGGGAAAATTCTGAGCTCTTGTGCAGTACCAACCTTCTATTTTTCAACATTTGAACATAATTTTAAAATCTCAATACTCGCCTGTTCTTTACCATCAACTTTCCGTCAAAACTACGATAAACTCTTATTTTAATAAGCTTCAAATTCCTTGTCAGCAACTGCGAATTTAACTTAATTGCACAGCGGTGTTTTCAGGAATTTAATCGCTTTTGGAGCGGTGTTCCAAAAAATAAACCGATATTTTTCTACTTGAAGCGACCAGAATCTTACGATGACCTCTTTTTGAGAAAAAGTTGTCCCTCCAAATGCTACAATCGATCTGCTCAAAATAGATACCGGTAGAAAATACCTACATGCGTAGTCGTCAGAAAAAAAACATCATGGATGTTATTAGATAAAACCTACATGAGGATCTTTTGAAAGAAGAACTAACAACTAGAATAGAATGGGGTAGCTTTTTGTAAGTTTTTTCCACCGTATTCCGTGGGGGAGAGAGATGCCATCCATTTTGCCGCAGCCGGTCCCACCTTGAGGAGGCGGATGAAACTGGGACCCCTCCTACGTCCTACCCTGACCGAAGAAAGATTCGAACCCACTGCCTATGTTAAAAGCCACGCGTCTTATCCATTCGGCAACGAATGCTCAAGGGGCTAGCAGATCACCTTTATGATTTATAGAATGAGTTGTATGCCTTATAGTTTCCTAGAAAATCTGCGAGTGGGACCTTTCTTAATAGAAAGCCTAGATAGCATAATATTACCACCTCTTTCCAGCTATCTCCTTGAGGTTATTTTGCGTCGTGCACTGTTGCTTCTTCGTCATTACGCTGAATGGCTGTCTGCATATTTTGACAAAATTGAGGCAGAGATTACACTTAATCCGGCATCGAATGTGATTTCCCTAATCACTTTTCCTCCAAGTGGGCAATTAAAAGAAACGCCTCGTTAACTCTTTTGTGTAGAATGTGTTTATAAAGTGTAACCCTTGTAGAATGAGGCCCTTATAAGCACGTCGATCAAGTATCAACTACTCCAAACAGATAGGGCGTCTTTGCGAACAAAATTGGGCCGATAGTGTGGAGAGATTTTTTCAAGAGGAGCTGTCAAGAGCATTTATCGCTCTTATTATTTGGAGGGTAAACCGCATCAATTGTTCTATACAGGTGTCGCCAGAGTAACTTACTGGTGTATAATTATAAGAACAACTCTTATCGCAACCTCCTTTCAGTTGAAATAATTTAAAATGAACATTTAATCTATCAATGTGGCTAACATGCAATTCCAAACAACACTACTGGACATCCACACGTTACTATCAGCCGGGAAAAAAACTTTTTTTTTACCTTTCCGAGCATAATTAAGGGAAAAAAAGATATGTTTGCCCCTAAATACAGCAAAATATTTTAGAGACGACCTCAAACTGGAGTTTAAGAAAGAAAATTCTTCAAAATTTTTCATGCACAAAACTATCACGTGATTTTAACAATTCGTTCAGTATTCTGAAGAGCAAAAGTGATAGTTTATGCATTTATAAGCTGAAAACTGAAGTTTTCAGTTCTTATGTTTCACGTTTTTTGGTCAACAGAAAAAAATTAAAAAGTATTTGTCACGTCCAAAATTAAGTATTTGTCACGTTCCTCGGCTCAGTTAAAAAGCCAAAATGTCTAGTGTAGTGGATTCAGCAGCATTAGGTTTCCCCACTTGGATGTATTCGATTTATAGTTACATCTGTTCTTTGTTTGTTCTTTTGGAAGAAAAATTTCAGCTTGTCCACTGAATTTTTCGAAAGGGATAGGTTCAGGACAAGCAAAGTAACGAATTACTGATATGGCTAAAAAAAGACTGAACATGATTCCGAAAAATTATCTGCCAATTGGATATAGCTTGAGCGGTAAACACTGATTCACGCACACTTCACTTCTCGTGCCGAATGCAGACGCAGCGGTGCAAACGGCCGCTTCTTGCCAATGCCTGATACGAGTTGTTGCCTGTTACGCATTGCCGCCAATCGAAACTATTTCGCACAACGACTGAAAACATGACTTCGATTTCTTACCTATCTTTACATGGTTTTAATGCACTTCGCAAACATCGATTAAAATACCGATTGTACCACCAAAAACGAAAGTTTGACTAGAGTCGGAACCGAACCCCGACCTACAGATTGGGCGCCCCTCATGACCTCGCATCTGCGACCCGTTCATTTGAAAGTATACTAATACTAGCAAGGAAAAAGCTGGAGGTATGTGCTTGATATTGAATGAACTTGCTATACTGATTCTATACTTGCAAAGAGCACGTTGTGGCAGCTTAAGCAGAGAATATTCCCAAAACCCCAAAGGTTCTCGATTGAAAACAACCTAAAAATTGGCACGGTAGTTTTCGCGTTAAGTCAAAAAATTGACAAAAAACTGTCAAGTTTCAAAACCAGTTAATAAGGTAGGCTTTAAACAACCTGCTGTTTCGATTAAATCTATGATATTAGATTGGCAGGATAGTTAAGCGAGAAAAGTCCAAAAACGGTCAACTAACCAAAAACGTGACTTTTCCGAGAATCATAGCTTTGTGTGTGAAATAGGGCGTAGCCGCTTATGCAGGAATTCACTCAACCTGAAACCTCCATTGAATTCAAAATCTCAGATTTGGGATTGTAGTTCTCGAGAAATGTCAAAAAGGTCAAATTGAACTTTCAACAACCCATTCTTTGAAATGAACCCACAATCTCAAATTGTTTTTGCAGTTTTCGAGCATATTCAAAAAATTTACAAAACAGTCAAAAATCAAATTTTTGACTATTACAAGGGCCATAAATTTGTGAAAAAAATTGTGCTTAGCTGATCATACAGCGAGTTTTTCGAAGGCTCTAGACAGAGGTCTCAAATAAAAAGAGACTCTAGGGGAGAATAGAGACCCACAGGGGAGTAGGTGGTCTTTCAATTGATATCTCTTTTCGAAAATCAGCAGAAGTTTGTGAGAAAAACTAAAATTGTTCAAATGAATTTGGATATAATTTTTTTATAATGAAAAAATCAACAAACCACTTGGTAAACATAAAAACACCATGAAAAAAGCGGAGTGGAGTGTTCAAGTTGTGTTTCCCTTGAAACGACCCAAAATTAAGTCATAAAGCCGATGAAAAGTAGGCCGAAATAAAAATAATTTGGGCCGAGAAATTTGTTTTAACCGGAACAAAAAAAACAAAGGAAATACGGAGTCAAGGTAAGTAAAATTTAAATTGTAGGAGTAAATCAACCACTAAAAGTTTTATTCAAGAAAAATGCGCGCAGCGAAAAAAAAATCGATTTCAAGATGTGAAAACTAAGCCGACAACAGATAAATAATTGGCCGATTTTTATTTGAAACAGAACATTTCCCGTTTGAAAAAAAAAACAGGTCATGGTCAGATTCGAAACCAGGACCATTGCCGTCCCAGAAATAGTGGTTACCTCCAAGCTAAATGGCCTGGAATGCATAGAAGTTTGACTTCATTATGAACCAAGATACAATTGATTCTGTTTAACAAGTTGTTAACCCAAAAAGCGTAACATGTTAGATTGGAAAAAAAGAAGAATTCGTAATATGGCACTTGCGTTAAAACAACTTTTTCACTTTAAAAAAACTTCTAATAACGTCTGAGGAATAATCAGATAAATAGGAATATAATTTTTTTCTTCATATATTACATGCATATGTACAATTGTTACAGAAAACAGCATATGTACAATTGTTACATCATCTATATACAAGTAAAATCATTTTTAACGGAAATTAGTCAATCTTACAGACAAAGCATATTTATTTTATACAGTTGAAGTTCTGCCAAGGTATTAATTGTTATACCGTATCGATGAGCAATCTCCGCCTGTTGCCGTGTTAGGACAGCTAAGGTTACAGAAAAAATCTGCCCGATTTTTCTAAATGGGCCACTAGAATTTGCATTCTTAACTTAATTTCAGGATGAAAAGAATTGACTGAATAGTCTCAATTCATGGTCGTCAAGGTTTTGTCGATATCAGAAAATTCCAGGACTATCGAGAAAAAAGATTTTTTACATTTTCATTTTCCCCGCTTTTTCTTTCCCGAAGTCTCATCTAGTCATCAGGGGAGGGAGATTGCTCAAATGATTTTTTATATCCAAAGTCCCTTTTGAAGAATTTTCTTCTTCCACATGGAATGTTTTGACAGGCCAAATTCTATTCTCAGCTGACTCGCTAATCAACGCAAAATTATCAGTTCCACTACGCAAATTCGCAACTTTTTGCCCCGACTGCTTTTTTCCTCTCAGCTTCATATATTCCATAAAATCAAAAATGAAATCGACCAACTCCAAGACTGTCAGAACACTTATGCCTAAGTACAGTCCCAGAAGTCCTCCAAAATTAGAAACCACCATTATGAAATTGTACACAGGTCGTTCAATTATTATCATTTCTGAGAGGTCACGAAAGTACACGGTCACACTTCCGAAAGTTGACCTCAGTTGGGTCAAAGCTGTTTGTGAGTTTTCGGTTTTATCGACAGTGTATTTATCTATTGCAGTCATGAGATAGTCAATTGCAGAACCATTCAAGTCTTTATACACGCTGGCTACAAATCGGGCTATTGATCTGTTAGTCGGCCATTCAAGTTGCGTAATTGTGACGTCATATGACTTGACATTGCACTCATTCGGGCAATCGCACACGGTGTTTGGGTTCGCAAAAGCGTTTATATAGTCCACGCATTCTCGTTCATAGGTTTGATTCAGGGTACAAAGCGGAACTTTTCTGAACAGAAGATCATCGACGCAACCGCAAATTTGAGCCTTCAATCTGAAAAAGACACAAGGAATTTCATTACAAAATATTGAAGAACACAAGCAGTCTATTTTTCAGGGATGCAGTGCAAAAAACATAACTTCTATTGGCACCTGAAATACAGCTTTCAATTAAGTATTTGAAAAGAGTTCAACAAAGGAGGCGAGACATAGTTTTTCACGTATTTTAATGTGAAAAGCTATCAAAAGCAAAATCCAAATTGGGAAAAGAACATTAAAAACAAAACCTCAAACCAAATTAGCGGGAAATGAAAAACATAGCCAACAGAGAGTTGGAAAAAGTCAATGAACGCAATTAAACAGCAAAAAAACCGACTTAATTTTTTGAAAAATCTCAACTTTCGATTAAAAAGAAAAAAGTTAATTGTCCCTTTTTGAATATATATACATGAAAAAAAGTAAATTTGAGCCGGAACAAATTTCCTAAGAGAACTTTACCTGAAAAAAAATCATCGCGAACTATATAAAAATCTAAACTACGTTCATCGACTCTTAAAAAGACAACTAGTAAACTCAAAAGCAACTAAAAACCTAATTTAATTTTCTTTGAAACCAATCATGAAATCAAAAACTGCAACAGCATAATCTATTTAGAGTAATCAGATAAAATCAATGCTAAGTGGAAAATGAAGGGAAACGAAGCCAAGTTTCAACCGGAATCATGCATCAAAAAATTTCAAAATAAATGAAAAAGAAATAAATAAACTTGTCGGAAAACTTAACTTTGAGTTGGCTCCAGGTGCTAAAAAACGTATCATGTTTTATTTTGTGTACTAGTTAAAAAATTTTGTAAGCCTATAAAAACAATATTTTTCACTATTTCATTATTTGATTTGAATATTTCAACTGACAGTTGGAAAAGAGTAATGAACGCAAGAAAGGTGAAGAATAAATACTCACTTGTTTTTTTGAAAAACTTTCTACTTTTGAATTTCGAAGACAAAAAAAGATGGCATTAAAGATCATTGAATTTTTAGAACAACTTATGATGGACACTTTTATGTTAAAATTAACCCAATTTGAGAAAACTAAGAACAAAATGATATAGTTCTCATATAGTAAAGCAGTAATTATAGAATAAAGAGGATGCCTTTTTTTGATTTGCAATGATTTCCAAGACAATTTCAATTGCCGCTCACGCGTTAATAGCAGAAAAAGTATCGCGAATTAATTGTCCCAAATTAACAATATCTAAACCCTCATAACTTTACAAAAAAAATTCACAGGTGATATATCTTCTTGAATTCGAGCTCAGAAAAAGAATACCATTCGACAGATATGAAAAAAACTCCGTTAAAAATTCCTAGTTAAAAAGTCTGGATAAAGAAAAAATATTCCGTCAATTTCTTCAACAGTCGGAAGAAGAACGATCTGATCAAATAGCGCTATGAAAAATAATTTTCAAGCAATCAGAAGCAAAGAGGTTCGTAATAACATACTGAGCTGACGCTTGTGTAAACAATTCATGATTGACTTGATAAAATTCAAATAATTTGAGAAAACTGGATCATTAGTTAAATTTTTTATTCCGCTGGGAAATCTGAAAATTAAATTCTACTTCCGATACTAGAAGTCGGTCATGTTATTCGTGACCTTTAGACTTTTACCTAACGATAGAGGAGTTTGCTTTCTTTTTAACTGAAGAAAACTGAAATTAAAAAGAATTCAAAAGTCGAACCGCGAAAAATTAAATTTGAACCTGAACAAATGTGATGACTTTTCCTAAAAAAAAAAACGAAAAAAAACCATCAGCACCTATATAAGAGTCTGAATTAAGTTCATCGACTCTTTATAAGTACAAGCAAAAAAATGGATTAAACCACCTAAAACTGAATGTATCTACAAACCTAAATATCAAACAAAAACAAGTTTTCGATAAATTAATAGCTTTGCAGGTTTCGCATCAATTGACAACTGTTTTCACGACAACGATATTTGAACCCGCAAAAATCGAGAAAGTGCTGTTTTAATTACAGTGAAATTTCTCGCATTGGACGGAAATAACTCATGAACAGTTAACAAGAAAAACTTGCGATGATGCTGGTAATGAACGTACAGATTTACGCAATGTCTCAAGCAGTCATCGCGTGTATTGTAGATATGTACAGTTCCCTCTCCATAGTTCTCGCACGTACTGTAGGGTTCCACAAGCTTCTGGACATTATTAGGTTGCACAGACACCATGTGTTCGAATCCTGGTGGCAGACTCAACTCACTTGTTAAATCCACAAATACGTTTCCATTGCGGTCAACCAGACCCGGCGTGGTCAAAAACAATTTCAGTCCTGAAGTGGCAGTGAACAAGCCTAAAGAGTCATACGCTTCCAGATTGTACCAAATTTGAAGTCCGTAGTTTTTCCCGCTAGTGGTGACGGGTTTTTTGTACGTGAATGAGAAACAATTTCCGTAATCTTGCGAGACAGTGTAATTCACGGTTATGCTTTGATCGCAGTCTTTGTTATCGGCGCTACATTTGATGATCATTTCCTAAACAAACAAGCTTGACCAGAAATTAAATAAGTATCAAATATTTCGGCCAGTAGCATTGCAAAAAATTTAATTAAAAAAAAAACGATTTATATGGTTAAAAAAGCTTACAAGGTTTTTCAGGCGTATAAAATTACAGCGACACACTGCGACGTGTTTCATATTTTTGAGAAACTCGAAATCTTTTAAGAGCAGACACGATCATGCCGCCTCTAGCGCCCCTTTTGATTCAACAGGAAGGGCATAATATCTCGTAAAAGCGCAAGGCATTCGTTAGTAATACATAAGTTATGAACCGTTAGAACACTGAAAGAAATTGAGACGGAAATGGAAACTCTTGATAGCGCTGGGTACAGTTATGATAAGCATGATCCAGGCAGTTGATGAACACAAAAAGTTGGATATAGAGTAAAAATCTGACCACGTCATAGATCTACTAGTTATTCAATTAGAAACAGAAGGGGAGGAAGAGACGAGGGTGACCCTGTCAGACCCATTAGACAACTAACTGCTAAAAAATTTCAAAAAAATTGATAGCTGCGCTGACTAAAAGAGACAAAAAACAGAAGGAATTGAGGAACTGCATAATGACAAAAGGCGAAGCAAGAGGACGATGCCATACTACTGCTACTACCAACACTGGCGGGACTATCACTTAAAAATAGCGACGAAAGAATAACTGCAAAAAAGTTACCAAATAGGGTATTAACTGGGGACATCGATGATTCAGGGGAGACACTAGCGGATAGGGTAAATCCATCCTGATTCAACCAGGGACTCACAAAAAGAGTCAAGGAGAAAAGTGGTCTTAATATTTTTGGATTTCCATATCCGAAATAATCCTGCCTTAGAAAATCGCAGACCGGAGGCCAAGAACAAGACCCGAGTAAGACCGGAGACCAGGAACAAGGCAAGGAAGCTGATAAAAACAACATCAGCAGTATTTAATCGAGAAGTTGACCGGATCAGAGAAGACACGTCATTGAAGAAGAACACGAGCTTCGGTGAGAACGGAGAGCAAAGGCAGGGGATCTTGAACAAAATAACATTAGCAAACAATTTCCAAACAACACAACGAGCCGAAAACATCAGCAACGAAACAATTCGCAATAAAGAGATCTCTCAAACCGGAACAAATAGACGAAACCGTCGACACAATAGGGTCACAAACTTCTCTTCAAGTGATTCAAGTCAGGCAGTCCTCGACGACTATTCATTCGACACTGGCAGTGAGGAGGATCTGTTAGACAGATTGGAAGGGAGGCCCCATCTAAAGGGGAATGTAAGAGCGCAACTATTCAAAGAGACGGTACTTCAGATGAGACGAACGTCCAAAGAACCTCAAAGATTCGCCAACAGAATGGTGAATGAACTCCAAAACATGAAAACCTCGACGCCTTCAATAATACGACAAGCCTTGAAAAATCTTCCCCTTCGACGCCAAACGGAAAGTTTAACCCGGAGTACCACTACACAAAACGTCTACGACATTTGAACTTGATTCTTTGCCGAACCTAATTTTGCCACATTTTTGACATGATTATGCCGCCAAATTAGTAAATTGAAAGACTCAAAAACTCAAAAAAAATCAAAAGAAATCATTTTAAAGCAACAACTAAACTACGATTTGAAATTGGAATCTGAATCACCCAAAAGTATTGCCATTGTCATTGGCGCCCAATAGTTTTTAAAACAAAGAAACCGAAACCAAGGTTTTTTTTTTGTTGGAAAAATCAACGAACCCATCCTTATACTAACCAATCATATTGTTTACTTTTTGTTTTTGGATTGTAAGTTCCAAAGAAAAAAAAACTCAAAATCATTTTTTTTGTTACAATACAATTGCGAGGGTTCCATGTAATCAAAGGAATTACATATTGGCCATTTTACATTTTTGCCTAACACGTCAAAACGTGAATTAAGATAAGGAGACAAAGTCAATTAAAAATGAATTCAACCTATGATGCTGTTTTTAAAGTCATAGAAACAGACGTAGAAATTTTAGCAAAAGCAATTAACCAAGCCATAAGCGATTCCGACGAAGTACAGATCATGAACGATTTCTTAACGGAATTGAAGAGCTTGCTCGACGATGCCAATAACGAAGCAGTCAAGATAATGCGCACCGGAACGGACCAGCAAGACTCAATCATTGAACGATTGAAAACTTTGAAAGTTTTGTACCGAACGATCCAACTACGATCAAAACGATACGAGCGTACCCTCAACAACACTGCCACGTCTTCTTTAAACTCATCACGAGTAGCCAGCAACGTCTCGACGCCTTCAATAATACGACAAGCCTTGAAAAATCTTCCCCTTCGACGCCAAACGGAAAGTTTAACCCGTAGTACCACTACACAAAACGTCACCATGGACCAGGACACCCCGGACGATTCGCCACAATTTTCAGGATTGCCAGCAATCTTAAACGCTACTTCAAACCACAGATCAAATTCCGCCCAGGACAATTCAGGACTCCTACTTCGCCCCGGATCTAACAGCGACGCCAATACCTTGGATCATCGCATTCATCAACAACAAACAGAAACTGTTGGAACTCAAACTGCCCATGGAACTCACCTCCATCCTCAGTCAAACCTCTCATTGCAGCAGCCGAACGCCGACTTGTCACAAAGTTCAAACCTTCAGACGAACCACCCAGAAGCTCAACTTCAAGGAACGACAAAAGAATTGAACAATGGAACTCAACTCCAAATCGACAACCAGCAATTGACAGCAACAGTGGGACGAAGACCGAACTCAGAAGCTCAACTTCATGAAACGTCACCACACTCCAACCCTGGAACTCAAATCCAAGTTTTCAATCAGCAGATGAACGCACCAGCAACCCAACAAAGAAATGTTTCAGAGCCAATATTTCTTCCTACAGCAACTTCAAAAGCAGCTCAGAGTCAAATGATTGGACAGCAAATCACACACCCAATTCTTGCTCCCCAGACAGCTAGCCCCCCACATGGACTATACCAGCCTTCAAGCCTACAACAGAACCAGCCTCCAAGTCAGCAACAGAGGACACATAATCCGAATAGCGCCTTTAGACCCATCTTGACGATTGGAAATCAGAATTCAACCAATCATCCCCCCACCAACGTGTTCAGTGGACACCAGACGACAGCTAAGGGTATCACAAACATCAACGGAGTACCGATACCAGCACAACCAGCACTACTGCCAACAAACCAAGGAGATCAACGAACAGCAACAAATTGGACCTCCAGCCAGCCGACCCTGACTCACAAATGTACACAACCTGCCATACGATCATACCAGGAAGGATTTCTGGGAACCACGACAGCATACAACCCTACGAACATGCCGACATCATCAACAACAGCCTTCTTTCATGCAGGCTGCAGGGGACCAACAGGAACAACTCACCAAAATATCAACCGACCTCCCCCTCATCAACATGCAGTCCATCAACATGCAGCACATCAACATGCAGCACATCAGAACCAGCCGACTTATTTCCCGATTCCTACCAACCTTGGAACAGCACCGACAGACCACAACCATCATCAAACGATATCGAAGACATTCAGGAAATCAGTGCCCATTGTCAAACCATTCATATTCGACGGAGAACCTGAACAATGGTTAGATTGGATAGGACTGTTCAACGCAACCATCAACAGCACCGACATGACAAACTCGGAAAAGATGACACATCTGCAGAAACTTGTATCCGGAGATGCCAAATCTCTCATCCGAGGATATGGATGCAATGGAGCAATGTATGACGCAGCCCTTCAGCGACTGGAAAACGACTTTGGTAACCCGACGAAGATAGTTACATCCTTCCTTCGACGACTCGACGCCATCAGCGGCCCCAATCTACGACATACCAGAAGCTACAAGGACCTCGCCAACTTCCTACAGACAATGGTCGATACATTCACGACACTTGGATTCCAGCACGATCTACACTCTACAAATGTCCAAACAGTTTTGTCAAAACTGCCTACCCCTTGCCGACTAGAATGGAATAGATACAATCTGCGATGCAACATCAGACAACCATCACTCATCGACCTCACCAATTGGTTCAACATCTACGCCGAAGCATGCAGCGATTTGCCGAGCAACAGCAACAACAACAACACCAGAAACAGCAGCAGCAGCAACAACTACAACAGCAGCAACACTCAAGGATCATCATCCAACGGTCACACCCACCAACATGGACCATCGGATCACCGCGCCAATCAGAACAACCGGAACCAGCAACGCAGCCAGCAGCAACATAAATCTGGACAAAAGGATCAACGACGAGATTTTTGCCCGGAGAAACGCAATTGCCAGTACCTTGGAAAATGCCAACACTTCATCGCAATGAACCCAAAGGACAGATTACAGCATGCCAGGGACCTACAACTATGTTTCAACTGCCTCAGCCCCCACAAGTTCGCCGACTGTCAATCAACGCAAACCTGCCGGACGGACGGATGCAGTAAGAAACACCACACACTTCTGCACAACAGCAGCACCTACAACTCGACGACACAAAGGGAGACAGCCAACCGGAACTCCAGACAACATGACGACACCACCAACTGCAGCACCAGCATAAGCAGAAGGAAATCGACTCGCCACATTCCGACCCTGCCAATAACGATCTCTCATGGCAAACAGAGTTCATGCCTATGCAATGCTTGATTGTGGAAGCAAACTGACATTGCTTAAATCATCAATCGCCCTCCAACTCAAACCAGATCTGCAGTTAGACGACACCATCCAGCTAAACCAAGCACTGACATCATCAGACACAGCTTCTACAAAGATGACGATTGCGATTGGACCCTACAACCAGCAAAAGCAGCCATTTCAACTAAATGACATCGACGTCATAATGGATTGGAACCTTTCCCAATTCAACCCTGAACTCGTCAACTCCATCTGCCAAAGAAACGAGCCTCTTCAACACATTCGGATAGCCACACTGCCCTCGAAAGAAATCGGAATCATCATTGGATGCG